ATAGTGGGGTGGAGTTACGTAGTCCACAAGAAAGCTGGGGAAATGCTGACTGATCACAGTTAGAGAGCACAGGATTCTATTTGCTCACAAGACTTCTGGCAGGTTCAAAAGTTTTTTTTTTTTTTACTTAAACAAATACTGTAAAAAAAACACCTTTAGTTGAATTCAGTTTTGCAAAATTATAAAACTACTTGCATATTTACAGTAAACTAAAACATTTAAAGTGCTTTTAATGATTTATTTAACCGATCAAAAAAGGGAGCAAATGATGTTTCATACATTGTAAAGTCTTCACATGTGTACTTCGAAAGACATTTAATTACTGGTTTTTATCCACATGTATTAAATGTGTTTTCATGAACAAAGCCTTTTTGATACTGTATTGCAATTCCTTTTTGTACCTGTGGTTTAACCACTTGCCTACCAGGCACTTATACCCCCTTATTTACCAGGCCAATTTTCAGCTTTCAGCGCTGCCGCACTTTGATTGACAATTGCGCGGTCATGCAACATTGTACCCATATGAAATTTTGATCATTTTTTTCTCACAAATAGAGCTTTCTTTTGGTGGTATTTAATCGCCACTGGGCGCTTTACTTTTTGCGCTATAAATAAAAAAGTGCAAAAAATTTGAAAAAAAAAAAAAAAGTTTCTTTGTTTCTATTATAAAATTTTTCAAACAGGCATTTTTTCTCCTTCACTGATGTGCGTTGATGAGGCAGCACTGATGGGCACTGATAGGCAGCACTGATGGGCACTGATAGGCAGCACTAATGAGGTGGCACGGATAGGCGGCACTGATAGACAGCACTAATGAGGTGTCACGGATAGGCGGCACTAATATGCAGCACTGATAGGCGGCACTGATAGGTGACACTGATGATGGGTACTGATAGACGGCACTGACTGGCATCACTGCTGGGCACTGACTGGCACACAACCCCTGGGCACTGACTGGTGGCACCGACTGGCAGCACTGCTGGGCTGCACTGGTGGGTGGGCACAGGTGGGTGGCACTGGTGGGCACAGGTGGGTGGGCACAGGTGGGTGGCACTGCTGGGCACAGGTAGGTGGCACTTCTGGGCACAGGTGTGTGACACTGCAGAGTGGCACAGGTGGGTGCACTGCTGGGCACAGGTGGGTGATCTGCTGGGCACAGGTGGGCGGAGCTAGTGGGCGCACTGCTGGGCACAGGTGGGCGGAACTTGCGGGTGGCACTGCTGGGCACCGATCATCAGGGCACTGATCATCAGTGCCCTGATGATCGGTGCGCTGAACCCCACTCTGACAACTGCCGGTTCTCGTCAGTACTTTCCTCACGATCTGACAGCGTGAGGAAAGTGCAGCCGAGAACCGGCACTTGCATTTCCCTCTGATCAGCGTGTCATTGGACACCGCTGATCACGTGGTAAAAGGCCGCTGTGATTGGCCTTTTACCACATCACGTGATCAGCTGTGTCGTAGGACACAGCGATCACGGAGATCGCCGGGTGCGCGCCCCCTGGGCGCGTTCTGGGAGGACGTCATATGACGTCCACTCAGAACTGGCCGGCCGCAGTGCAGCCGTCATTCGGCTATCTGCGGTCGGCAGGTAGTTAACCACTTACCTATCAAGCACTTTTACCCCCTTTGTGCCCAGGCCAATTTTCAGCTTTCAGTGCTGTCGCACTTTGAATGACAATTGCGTAGTTATGCAACATGTGATCATGCAACACAAAAAAAAAAAAAGTTTCTTTGTTTCTGTTAAAAAATTTTGCAAACAGGTAATTTTTCTCCTTCACGGATGTGCATTGATGAGGCTGCACGGATAGGCTGCACTTATGAGGGAGCACTGATGATGCTGTACTGAAATGCAACAAGGTGCAACAAGTTGTACAGTATGTAATGATGCATTACTATTAATCAAAATCATCCCAAAACATATTAGTTTATAACAGCCAGGACAGTGAAAGCTGATCGGTTACTATAAGTTCCATAGTTAAAGCAAAACTAAACCCCCCTCTATCCTCTTCAGTCAAGGAAGCTGCCATCTTAGCCTCTGTTTGATCTGCAACTTGCATTCTGCTACACACGTGATCAGTTATAACACCAGCCATTTGATGGTTTGACAGTTTGGTTGAGAGCACAAGCAAATGTGTCAATTAGCATTCCTTGGATGCTGGGAATTAGTTTTTTTTTTTTTTTTAACTTTAAATCGAGTTTAGTTCCACTCCACTTTGACAAACTTGTATTGTCCTAAGTGGATTTTTTGACAAACAGTGGGTGCTTCCATAGGTAAGAATCATCCATAGTGAAATTTTTAACAATTAGTGCAAAAGAAAAAAAAGACATGGTATGTTGTTTTGACTTTAATTTAGTTACATTTATAATTTTAACATTGTGTAAATCATGATATTACTTAATTTTGCCTCACTTGTAGGTTTTTTAATTAAAACTAATCCCTTTGGACCTTTCAAATACTAATCAGTGGCATAACTATTACTTTTATTTATATCCTAGGATATTTCAGTTAAATTATTATATCAGTTAATTACATTTAATTTAGCTGATTTTTTTTCCTGTTGATTGTTGTATTGCTTTCAGTTTGATACCCTTTATCTTCCCTCATTATACTTCCTACAACCATGTATCATTTTTAAAGAGAACATGAGTAAGCAGGCAAAACAGATTTCTTTTATTCCTAATGGAATTCATATTCTACTGTAGTCATAACAGAATGGCACAATCATAAAACAAAATATGGAAACAATAAATTAAATGGCCTGTTAAAAAGTTTCCACACCTTTAGTTGTTAATACTGCATATTTTCCCCTTTAGAATCAATGACAGCGTGGGGACTTTTATAATAGTTGCCTATGAGGCCCCAAATTCTTGCAGGTGGTATAGCTGCCCATTCATCTTGGCAAAATGCCTACAGGTCATGCAAGGTCTTTGGTTGTCTTGCATGAACTACATGTTTGAGATCTCCCCAGAGTGGCTCAATGATATTAAGGTCAGGAGACTGTGATGGCAATTCCAGACCCTTCACCTTTTTCTGCTGTATTCACTGGAGCGTAAATTTGGCCCTATTTTTAGGGTATTGTCATGCTGGAAAGTCCAAGAGCGCCCCATGCACAGCTTTCCTGCAGAAGAATGCAAATTATCTTCTTGCCGTCAATTTTCACAAGCTTCCCCATGCCTTTACGCCCCCCCAAAAAAAAAAAATCAGTGAGCCACCACCATGCTCATGGTGTTGATGGTATTCTTGTGGCTATAGACCTTGTTGACCCCCACTTTAAACATAGCGCTTATAGTTGTGACTATAAAGCTCTATTTTGGTCCGTACTCCAGATTACAGTGTGCCATTAGCTGTGAGGCGTGTCAAGGTGTCAAGGTGTTGTTGGGTACATTGTAACAGGGCTTTTTTTGTAGCATTGGTGTAGTAAAGGCTTCTTTCTGGCAACTTAACCATGCAGATCATTTTTGTTCAAGTATCATTGTATTGTGCTCCTTGAAATAACCACACTGTCTTTTTACAGTGCAGCCTGTATTTCTCCCAAGATTACCTGTGGGTTTTTCTTTGTACCCCAAACAATTCTTCTGGCAGTTGTGGCTGTAATCTTTCTTGGTTTGCCTGACCCTGGCATTAAGAGATCCCTGAATTTTTCACTTCTTAGGACTGAACAGTGCTAACTGGCATGTTCATAGCTTTGGATATATTTTTATATCCTTTTCTATCTTTATGAAGTTCCATTACCTTGTTACGCTGGTCTTTTGACACTTCTTTTCTGCTCCCCATGGCTCATTATCCAGCCTGCTCAATGCATCCACGTGAGAGCCAACACACTCATTGACTATTTATACACAGACACTAATTTCAATTTAAAAAGCCACATATGTGGGAAATTAACATTTAATTGACATTTTAACTTGTGCATCATGAATTTCCCTTTTCATTAAATAGGATTCATATCAGGGCTGTGACTAAGCCTGTGCATGACTTTCCTTTTTTCCTTTTTTGAGCCATTCCATGTTGGATTTATTAGTGTGCTTCAAATCATATGTTGAAAGTTCCACTTGCAGTTCAGCTTTACTTTTTGGACAGATGACCTTACATTTTTATCAGGCACACTTTGATATGATGCAGATTTCATAGCTGACTTGGTGACTGCAAGCAGTCCAGGCCCTGAAGCAATCACAAACTATAACATTTCCACCACCATGCTTCATCTCCTGAAATGCTGTTTTGGTTTGCACTAAACATGTCTACTGTTATTGTAGCCAAAAACAACTCTATCTTTGATTTATCAGTCCACAGTATGCAATTCCAGAAGGCCTGGTGTTTGCCAAGATGTGCAAACTATAGTCTTGCCCAAATGTTTTTTTTTGGATTGCAAGTGCTTTCCCCTGGCCTAATTATTCCTTCATCCTATCCAACCATAAAAAAAAAAAAAAAATTCCACAGAGAACACAGAGTGCTCAAAGTGCTTTGCTTCTTGCAGTTATGCTGTCAAAGTGCAATATTCCAGACAATGTATTAGAACCCACGTTGTAATCATTTGACTTACAGTATATATTGGGAATTTTTTAAAAATATAATTGTAAATCCTCTAACTATATTATCAAATAAGCCAAACTATATTAAGAAAAAAAAATGGCCAAATTAATAAAAAACGACATGCATTTCATCACAAATGTTAAATGTTTGTTAAAAAACAAGTTATACAATAAATAATAAATTAAATGTTACAAAATCTAGTTTGTTTGTCTCAGTTGCCTCTTAGCAATTTAGCAGATGCCAAAAATTAATAGAAAATAAAAAAAAGCCTCAGTCATGATAAAAGTATTAAAGATTGCATGATGCATTGTGTCACATTTCACATGCGGTTGTTTTATTTATTGATTGTAAGCGGTAACTGTTCAGGAAAGTGAATCCATCTACTGAATCATAATGAATGTCTTAGAACCCAGTTTGTCTGAACCTAAAAAGGCAATGAAATGCAGTCTTGCTTGCTGACATTTTAAGCAATTACCTGAGTGAAGGTACTTGTATGTAAGGTAGACACTTGCATGTGCAGTATTATCCTTTCTATAAGGGGTTTGGGACCTGTTAAAAAGCCAATCCTTAATCTGGGGAAGAAGTAACAGAGGATTATTGTTCTCATTTAGCAATAAAGACAACACAAGTAGCTATTAAGGCTCAACATATCTGATATGCATAAACCACATGCCTTCTATAGTTTGTCTAGTTGTAGCTAAAATCAGATTCTCTTAGTGTATCAGGGCACATGATTTTTACACACTTAGTGTATCAGGGCACATGATTTTTACACACTTAGTGTATCAGGGCACATGATTTTTACACACTTAGTGTATCAGGGCACATGATTTTTACACACTTAGTGTATCAGGGCACATGATTTTTACACACTTAGTGTATCAGGGCACATGACACAACACACACACACACACACACACACACACACACACACACACACACACACACACACACACACACACACACACACACACACACACACACACACACACACACACACACACACACACACACACACACACACACACACACACACACTTCAAATTCAGAAAAGGAAAGGCAAAAAGTAAAAAAGAGTGTCATTTCTGTGAGGTAAGTAAAGGTGCCCATTGCAGCGACAGTAAGGTGATCACAATCACAAGCTTGAAAGACAAAATGTACAATACGACCTGTGCCAAAAGAGGGCATAGAACATTCCGAAGTTAATAAAAATAAATAAATAAATGAGGGATGATGGTGATGTATGGTTAAAAATTAAATTAACACATCCAGAACCAGACTTGCCATTAGGCACAGTGGCACAGGTAAAGAAGCGACATTTTGCTGTGCAGTCATTGACCACACATTTTTTCACCATCAACAGAATTTCATTAAGAATGCCATTGCTAAACTATCTTTCTGAAAAAGCTGACTGCCCGATTTTCATGCTGCCATCTCATTTTGGTACTTTAAAAGTTCTCACCCAGAACAAGTATGCAGATAAGGACCTCTGACTTTTCAGATCAGCAATGACAGCCCCCATATTTTTTTCATGATTAACTTATTTAGTATGGATGCGGGAATGTAATGTGTAGTTAGCCCTCAATCCCTGCCCACTTTATCTAATTAAATGATGGAATTACATGTTTGGGTGCATCTACCAAGGAAGCAGGACCAAGAACTGCTCAGTGCAGATCTATCTAATAAATGTAACTTCTGATGTGTTTCCCTAGTTCATGGCTCCCCTTACTTTGCTTTTCTTCACACATGCATTATTTTGTAACCCTACCTATTTTGGTCACATTTCAGACATTTAAAACTAAGACACAAATTCCTGGAAAAAAAAAACATTCCCACAATTACAACTAATTCACATATATTAAAATCAATAGGCAAAGTTCAGTGGCTTTTCCATAATTATGCCTATGGAACAGAGCTTTATTAAGTACAATAAAATTTCCAATACCAGGATGTATTTATAATGTATTTCCACAGCTGCGCAAAGCTGTGGTTCTGCACAATGAAGGCAAGGTGGATTTATTTCTCAGACACACCCACAACTTACTAACATCAATTAAAGGATTATCTCAGGCCGTTCACACTTCGCATATCTGGAATTGTGCATATCTTCCCGTAATTCTAGATATAAGCGCTAAAATCATGACAAAACATGCACCGCGTGTTTGGGTGCCGTGAATTCTTTAAGGCATCCCAAATGCAGTTAGCAGACCTGTGTTTTGTCACGTGAAAAAAACATGCAATGCTTTACACCTGAAAAGGTGCAGGAGCTTGTCTGGTCCATTTATCTCACATAGGGCAGTCCCATGCCTGGTGAAAGAATATCTTCTTTCATAAAGCACATTTATACCAAAAACCAAAATGTTATACATTGCAGCTTACAGTCCTTAGATGTGGTAGCTGTATTAGGATCACCAGGTGAAAATTAAAGAAAAAAGACATAAAAAGAAAACTAACAGTGATACACTTTCTGTCCTAGGGTGACCATGCTCACTCACTGTTGTGTATCTATGGAGGAATAGAGGTGTTAGCCTAGGTTGCTCCCCTGATTTAGACTAGAATTACCTCTTCCATTCCTCATCTTCATACCATAGTGAAGAGATGATCTGTAGTATACAGAAGATAGGCTAACAGCATTGCTTAAGATGTCAATTTAGCGCACAGGAAATTACAAGGACGCTGAATTTCTTGCAGGATCAACAGGTATTTTATGTACTTGCAGTAAATGTACTAAGCCTAAAAAAAAAGAAAAGTGTGTCTAGCCACATCTGACTGATATGCTGTGATATATTAATTTTGTGGTTTTTAAAGACTGTCACCAGAAATAGATTTTCCAGTTTGAATGAGTGGAGCATGTTTTGATCTTCAGACTTTTACAGCTCCAAGTCTGGAATGGCCTTGAAACGCAGCCTTTTTGACAAACCTCCACTTCTCCAGAAATTCACTAGAGGGCATAGCAGGACTTAATATTGTGCTTCCTACGCTCCTATAAATTCTTTGGAGAGTTATGTGAAGAACCCGCTTAAGCAGGTGACAGCAAAAACTGTATAGGTGAGCATGGACAATCACAGCTAGCTGGGGTGGGTATTTATTTGCCAGGTTCCAGGGGAGTTTTAAAGAGCCAGTGGAAAACAGAACTGTTAATTTCCACGCAGTATGAAGAAAGAAAAAAAAAAAATTAGGTAGAGTTTTACTTAGGAGCAAAATTTAAATGGCAAATATGACCTATTAGATTTAATAAGCAACACAATGGCAGATATATAAATATATATATATATATAAAAGATAAAACAAATGAGAAGAATGATGATGATGAAACTAAATTTAAATTTGGTTAGTTATCATCAGATGAAATTTTTCCCTTGAGCACATATACTAAAGCTGATGTAATGTCCCAACCAGTGTCACTGTAATTCTACATAGAAATATTTCTCTGTTCAAACTAATAAAACTACTTTGTCAGTCAAGGCTTTTGTACTAATAAAATACCTGAATTTCAGTACAGAAAAAAAAAAAAAAAGACATCCCAGAATCCTTATCTGTGAAGGCAGAGCACACGAAAACACCGAGGACATCTGTGAACTTAGCATTACACACACTGTCATAAATAACTCAAGGCAGGGACCAATGCGTCATCGATCTTACCCGGAAGAAAGGATTTTCGACATAGAGTCTGCTCTGATAACACGCCCATCAACATCCATTGAAGAAAAGATGGTGCCCATGGCTATGGAGGGAAAAAGAAAAAAAGACTTTATACATGTGTCAAATCGACTCTGCTATAAAACCGAAGGCCTCATAGAATTTAACACGATGGGTTCAGATGATTTACGATAAGTATGGTAAAAGTCTTTTTTCATCAAAATTGGGAAAGATTTGCCATTGTATATGTACGTCTTTGGGTTGAATTGGTTATACCAGGGTCATAGCTGCAGCTGCAGTCATGACCCCACTATTTTTTTTTCTGCCAGTGATGCCCTTTCCTTCTGCCGCTTTCCTGGGCTCTCCTGTCCCACCAGAGAGTCCAGGACTTAAGTTGGCAGTTCTGCAGGCGTACCATAGTGATGACTGAGAGCTGGAACTTTCTCAATCATCTCTATGGTCTAAGAAACCAGAGGCAAAGAGTATTTTGCCACTTCTGGTTTTAGTCTAATGTAAGCAGGCCGTTACCAGCCTGTAAAAGAATCTGATCAAACTGATCTCAGTTTGAACAGATGTTTTTAAGGGCAGAAAAGAGATCTAGGGTGTAATAGACTTGTGATAGCATGGGCAGTGACAGGTTCTCCTTACGGAGACACACACAAGGGATGTTAATCCATTGTGATAGCAATAAAAGTGATCACATTTTTTTTTAAAGAGACAGTGTAAAAAAAGTTTTTGAATAAAACAAATAAAACAAAATATTTTAACCACTTCAATTCCGGACACTTTTTCCCCCTTCCTGTCCAGGCCAATTTTCAGCGCTCAGCGCTATCACACTTTGAATGACAATTGCGCGGTCATGCAACACTGTACCCATATGAATATTTTAGCATTTTTTTGAGACTGATAAAGCTTTATTTTGGTGTATTTTTTACCACTGGGATTTTACTTTTTTTGCTATATAAATGAAAAAGTCCAAAAATTTTGAAAAAAAATTTCTTATAAAAGTTTGCAAATAAATAATATTACATCATAAATCTTGCCCAAAATTTATTCAGTTATCTTTTTAGTAAAAAAATAAAACCCAAATTAGTTTATAACCAAAAAGTATAATTTTTTAAAAGTTTTTTTACATTTTTTTTTTTTATATTATTTATGTGTTTTTTTTACATACTGTCACCCTAACAGTACAGTGTCACCATGGTGACACTGTACTACTTGTGGGGGGTGATGAAGATTTTTTTTTTTTTTTTTTTTTTACACTGATTGCTTTTACACCCATAAAGGCTATAAAAAGCAATCATTTCTCCTTCTCTCTTGCTGCATTCTTGCAGCCATTGAGAAATACTGTGTGAGCTGTGATTGGTTACAGCTTGTCACATGGTACAAGGCAGTTGTGAATAGCCTTGTACCATGTGACCTCATTCACAGATTTCACACGTAGTAAGCAATGATGTCAGAAGTGACATCTTGCTTACTACTCTGCATGTGATCACTGGTTGGCCAATGATCAGTGATAACATGATCGGGACCTCGCACAGAGGTCCCGTACAACGATCGGTGTTCCAGTGTGTCCGGAGGACACAGCGAGCACCAGATCGCGGTGCTGCGAGCTCCAAGGGAGCGCACACAAGCAGGAGGCGGGGAGGCCATTTATAAATGGCCACCCGCCCCTGCACTGCCACCGCCCGGACGTTTATATGCGAAGGCCGGATGGGAAGTGGTTAAAGAACCCTCGTTTCCCTGCACATAGACAAATGTATACATAGGTTGTGAATCCATACATAAACGGTATTCGCACCACACATTTGAGGTATAGCGAAAGCAATAATTCCAGCACCAGACCTCCTGTGTAACTCTAAATTGGTAACCTGTAAAGGCTTTTAAAGCTTCGCCTACACAATTTTAAAGCCGGACTAGGTATCAATTTATTCGGTATAACATCATCTTTTATATTTTACTATATTTGGTATTATATTCTGTTTTGTTCAATAAAATTAACTAAAGTGTATTTTTAAAAAACAATTGTGTTTGAAACCCGCTGAAAAAATACAGCGCAACATAGAAAATTGCAACAACAACCATTTTATTCTCTAGGGCCTCTGCTTAAAATAAATAAATAAATAAATGTTTGCGGGTTCTAAGTAATTTTCTAGCAAAAAAAACAAAAAAATGCTGATTTTTACATGTGGGAGCGGAATGTCAGTTTTGGTCCAGCAGGCAAGTGGTTAAATGATCTAATCAAATTCTTGTTTATTTCATCTGCATATGACTGAATATTTTAACTTTAACTCTTTTTTGTGTGAACATTTTCAACTCCTTTAGAAAACCAGCCTTGTTAAAAAAGGATTTTATGTGGGATGACGTTAAGGATGGCTGTTTTAGTTTCAGGTAGATGGCCTCTTTCACATCTCTTGTGAACCAATTGTCTTCTATATCTAAAATGTGCGCCACACTGTTCTTGAAATAATGTTTCTTTCCCTTAGAGTAGGAAAACCAAAAGATGCCCATTGAAGTGCCCCCCATGCCATGCAATTGTTAAATTGTTATTTTGTCAAGTGGTTGGGGAATAAGAAAAAATGCTTGCTTTTTTTTGTTCCCCAACAGCTGATGCTTTTTTCTCTCTCTGACACTCTGGCATGTCCTCATATGCAATGCTGGACCACTGGTGTTGCATGGATTGTTACAACGCTGGAGAGGCCACAACCGGCTAAGCAGTGAAGACGCAGCTTCAGTTGTGTGGTAGGAAGGAAGACTGTAGAAGTATTTAAAGCAGAACTAAATTCTCCTACTGTCATCTTCAATTGCCAAGATGCTGCACATATGATCAGTTATGAGCAGTGGCGGACTGACCATTTGGAAACTCAGGCACTGCCCGAGGGCCCGGGGTCAGTAAGGGGCCCCATGAGATGCCCCTGGTACCTTTCATAGGCTTTTTTTTGGGTGTGGTTTGAGTGTGGGCGAGGATACAGGGGCCCCATGATCCTCTATTGCCCGGGGGCCCCATGAGTTGTCAGTCCGTCCCTGGTTATGAGACCAGCAGTTTGGTTAATTGAACAATCAAATGTGACAATTATGTTCTCGACACACGAATGGAATGCAACTGGTTGAATCGATGGGTTTAGTTCTGCTTTAACATTTGCAGTTTAGAGGGGGGCCCACTGCAAGAATTACATTATTTCTTCCCTGGATGGAGGTATATGACAACTGCTGAGTTCTAACCTACAGTTAATGCCATGAGTTAATCAACATTTTATCCTGTCATATGGATGAGTGGTGTAACATTACAATTACAGCTGAATGTGAGTTACCACTACATGCTATACCATGAGCTGGATAAATGAGAACCTTCACAGAGTTGTTTCTTTCCATATATTTAGGACTGAACTTTAAATTGTTATCTGGAGTTGCAGATGCAGACTAAGTTAATGGTACAAGCTTATGCGATTGGCTGTAGAATACATAATAAAAAAAAAAAAAAAAAAAAAAAAAAAAAGAAGAAGGTACAATGTCAGCCAGTACAAAAAAAGCTCTACCTTGTTGAACTGGAGAAAATAATAGGGGTCATCCTCCACAATAATTAAATCATATTCCCGTGCAATCTGTTAAAACAGAAGATACATGTAACATATGCTGCCAATATCTACAAGAATTCTTTTTCTTATAAACCTAATGACAAGGTTGTTATTTGGTTATAACTAGTGCTGGTGATAAGGCCAATATGGGTTTCTGACTATGTCTAACTACAAGGTTAATATTTGTTTAGAATCATCTTCAATGACATGGCTTATATTTGTTGATAACTATCACTGATGACAAGTGAATACTTATAGGTGCAAGGTCTAATGGAAAGGAAATATAATTCTAAAATTATGCTCAAGGAATCGGTAATTAGTGATGGTGGTCAGATTACGCCTGCAAGTAAATTTTTTTGGAGTTAAACAAATGTAACATATAATAAAAGTGAATGCAAAGCCCCACCAATACTGTGTTAGAATAATGATTAACTGCTTTTTAACTACTTGTCTACCAAGGTACGCTTACAAATGCCATGGTAGACAAGTGGGTAAGTTGAGCTCAGGTTCTGCTGCAGATGTGAGCTTGGTACAGGCTTTAAAAAGCCAGCAAATTGCTTCCCAGTAAAGGTAACCGGGTGGCTTTAGATCTGCCTGATCACTTTTATGGGACTCTCAAAGAGGCGCCTTCCCCTGAGTACTTGTCATTTGCCCATGTTATCATATAGAGGGCTTGTTAGCCCCCTTGTGATTGCAATAAGATTTAAAAAAAAAGTGTGAAAAAAAAATTACAATGAAATAAAGAAAAATAAAGAAAATGTAATGCATCCTGGTCACTCCTGCCCACATACAATATAAAAAGTGCAGTGTAGGGCTGGCATGTGTATGTAAGCATCAACTGCACCACACATGCGAGGCATCGTTGCAAACATTGGTGCAAAAGCAATAATTCCAGGATCATAACTGACAGTTACCTAAATTGAAGACCTGTAAAGGCTTTTATATCAGCGCCTATGGAAAATTTGGGGTACCATAGGTTTTTTTATTCCATGGGCATATGAAATTTTTGTACTTCACATGTTTGGTATCTATTTACTTGGTGCAACCCATCTTTTACATTTTATTTAAATTGGGTATAATATTCTGTTGGTTTACACTAAAATTCATTTTATTGTATTATTTCCTGAAAATATGTGTTTGATAGATAACCAAGCAAATATCAGGCAACATAAAAATTTAAAACTACCACCATTTTATTCTCCGTGGTCTCTGCTTTCAGAAAACACATACTTTTTGGGGGGGGGCGGAGATAACTAATTTCTGGCAAAAAAATGCAGATTTTAACATGCGAAAAATGAAAAATTTACCCTGGTAGGTATGTGGCTAAATGTGTTACATAACTACTATTAGCCTGACATAAGCCGTAGTAAATCTGAATTTGTTAATATAATGGTTAAAATCATTCCATTTTACATTACCTGGTAGATTTCTATTTTGCGCTCTTCAGTTAGTGAGGCACCGGTAGGATTACCTCCATTTGGTATGGTATATAGAACTTTTGGGCTATTCTTTTCAGGATTAGTAGCGTCCTCTGGTCGCCATCTAGAGAGAATATCCTTAAGAGCCGTAGGAATAATACCATGTTGATCAGTGGGGACACCAATGACATTGCAACCCAAAGGTTTTATCTGTAAATAAAAGCTAATCAGCTGCATGATATTACATAACTCGTTTCCTCAAAATAATATCCTTCTGCTCCAAGTTTTAGCTATTGCTTAAAAAATGGTAGATGTGTGTATAAATGGGATCAGGTGTGCCTAGATGGGCTCTAGTTAATATTGCACCCCTCTCCCAAGATGGTGAAGAACTCGGTGTCCGTTTTTCTCGAGAATGATCACACAGAGTAATACTTAAATTACATCATGGTTCTGCAACAGTTGGGGATCTATTTCTCAATTCTCCAGCTCTGGAATATGTGAAGGCACTTATGCACCATCATGTACAATGCAGAAGGTTATCAGGATAAAATGTTGCCAATAGTTCTGCTTTGTACGTGATTTTAGGAAGAGGGGTGACATTAAGACCTGTCACAGGCCAGGAAGCATAGTGGCTTTGAGGAAAAGATCCTTACAACCTGAAACAATGGTGAGGAAAACCACAGAATCGAGGAATAATATACAGGATGTATTACTCTGTTAGATCATCCTCTAGAAAATAAGTGCTATATACATCAGCTGATGGGGGCTGGGTGTACAATGGTTACTATTTTATTACTGCACGACACAAAAGGTAAACATCTTCATTTTTAAATTTCATTGGACTCAGATGGAAACAAATACCACTTTTCTGAAAATAGGGATCCTTGTTTTGGTGTCTTAGCTTTCAGAATCTTAAATTTTTGTATAGTCAGATTGGATGTGCTCAGTGATAAACACATTATTATTATACAGGATTTATATAGCGCCAACAGTTTGCTCAGTGCTTTACATTATAACAGGAGACAATACAGTAACAATACAGTTCAATACAAGAGGGATTTGAGGGCCCTGCTCCTTGGAGCTTACAATCTAGGAGGGAGGGGTTAGTGGTACAAAAGGTAGTAACTGTGGGGGATGGAGTGGTTGGAAGAGCAGAAGATTCAAGTATTAGCTGAGGGCAGGATAGGCTTCCCTGAACAGATAGGTTTTCAGAGATTGCCTAAAAGTGAGCAGAGTAGGCGATAGTCTGATAAATTGGGGTAGAGAATTCCAGAGGATGGGGGAAACCCTGAGGAAGTCCTGGAGACGAGCATGGGAGGAGGAGACAAGGGAGCTAGAGAGTAGGAGGTCTTACGAGGAGCGGCGAGTATGGTTTGGGTGATATTTAGAGACAAGATCGGTGATGTAATTTGGGGCAGTGTTATAAATGGCTTTATACGTCATTGTTAGTGTTTTGAATTTTATCCGTTGGGCAACGGGAAGCCAGTGGAGGGATTGGCAGAGAGGGGTGGCAGATACAGAACGGTTAGTAAGATGGATGAGAATGGCAGCAGCATTCATGATAGACCAAACAGGGGATAGCCTGCGATGAGGTAGGACAATGAGGAGGGAATTGCAATAGTCAAGGCGAGTGAATAAGTTGCTTAGTGGTTTCCGAGCTAGGAAAAGTCGTATGTTGGAGATGTTGCGGAGGTGAAGTCTACACGATTTTGTCAGTGTTTGGATCTGGGGCTGAAAGGACAGATGGGAGTCTAGGATTACACCTAGTACCCTGGCATGAGGGGAGGGACTGATGATTGTGTTATCAATCTTGTTGAAGAAGTCAGCGGAGGGGGCACGGGCTGGGGGGAATACGAAGAGCTCAATTTTGGAAAGATTGAGTTTGAGGAAGTGGAGTGACATCCATGCCGATATGTCACTTAGTAGGCTAGTAATGCGAGTGGATACTGAAGGGGTGAGGCGAGGGGTAGAAAGATAGATTTGTGTGTCAACAGCATAGAGATGGTAATTGAAGCCGTAGGAGTTTATCAATTGACTAAGGGAGCAGGTAGTAGCAAGGTCAAAAGAGGAAAGTGTTGAGAGAGGTTTAGTATAAGGAATGCTAAGTGGGGTGGATGTCTGTGCAGTGGCGATGTCCCTACGAATTGCGTCAATCTTGTTTTTGAAGTGATTTGCAATCTCGTGAGCAGTGAGTGAGGTACTGGGTGGAGGCGGAGAAAGTAGAGAGTTAAAAGTAGAGAAGAGACGGCAAGGACTGGAAGAGGAGGTATTAATAAGAGTGACAAAGTAGGCTTGTTTGGCAGCATGAAGGGAGGAAGTGTATGTTAAGAAAGCAGATTTATATCGGGTGAATGCTTGGTGCGATTTGATTTTACGCCACAATTGCTCCAGCGCACGACTGCGTCGTTTAAGAATTCTGGTGTGGTCAGTCTGCCAAGGTTGTAACAGTCGGGGCCTGATGCTTCGTGTTAGGGGAGCAAGTGAGTCTAATGCGGATGAAAGTGAACTTTTATAGACAGCAATGGCCAGGCAAGGGCAGGACAGGGGAGAGATTCTGTCATAGAGTTGGTCAGTTGCAGAGTGGAAGGGGGCAGGGTTCATGTTGCGGAGGTTTCTGCTGGTAATTGTTTGCTGCTTGGAGGGATAGGTGTTTGAAGACGAGGAGACTGTGAAAGTGAGGAGATTGTGATCAGAGAGAGGAAAGGGGGTGTTTGTGAGGTTGTAGGGAATACAAAGATGAGAGAAGACAAGGTCTAATGTATTCCCATCAGAGTGAATGGAGGACTGTATAAACTGTGCCAATGCAAAAGATGAGGTTATGTTGAAGAGTTGGGATGTAGCCGGGTTATTGACATTAATAGGGATGTTAAAATCTCCAAGAATGATAGTGGGTAGTTCAGAGGAGAGAAAGTAGGGTAGCCAGGCGGAAAAGTCATCAAGAAAGCGGGACACGGGTCCAGGAGGCCGAGAGATCATTGCAATCCTCAGAGAAATGGGAGAGAACAGCCAGATGCAGTGGGTCTCGAAAGAAGAGAAGGATAGAGAGGGAGGGTTAGGGAGGACTTGAAAGGTGCTCAGTGGCGATAGACGCAAACCGACCCCACCACCTTTCCGACCACTGGGTCTGGGTGATTGGGTCCAGATGAGGCCTCTATAGAAAAGTGCTGCGGGGGAGGCAGAATCTGCTGCTTGGAGCCAGGTTTCTGTAATTGCTAGTATGTTAAGGGAGCGGGAGACAAAGAGGTCATGGACAGAGGTGAGATGGTTACAGACAAAGCGGGCATTCCAGAGTGCACATGAAAAAGGGAGGGTGGTTTTTTGGGAGCACGGGGACAGATATTAGATGGAGGGGATTGCGGCTATTTCGGAAGAAAGAGGATGCCTTGTGTGTGGGTGAAGTAGTGGAGGACCAGGGTTTGGGGAGATATCCCCAGAGGTTAGGAGAAGAAGGGTGAGGAAAGTGGCATGGGAGTGGGATGTACACGAGCGCACATAGCAGTGAAAGCTTGTATATCATAAAGAGCGAAAATCAGTGCACTGAAATTGTGGTATGGAGAAAAAAGTAATCTTTTCTTTGGCGTGCAAGAGGGACAAAATGGTCAGTATATGAGAAAATGGAGAGGCAGATGGTGAAACTACAATTAAATACTTTGATCACAAAATGCAAAGGCAGGGCTCATTGGAAAAGATTTAAAACCAAATGAAGAATGGAATGTGAAGCGTAAGCTGGACAGAAACAGTGATACAAAAGTAGTTAATCTGAATCTGTAAGAGCTCAAGTAAATTTCAACTAAAGAAAACTATGCAAAAACTATGCAAAAATAGTATTCTACGCATTGATGTTTTAGGGATCAATCCCTAAACCCCTGGACATAGGCAGAGAATAAGCCACTGCAGTTTTGGCAGTTTTTGTGCCTGTGGCTATGAGAAGTCATTAAAAACTGTATACAGAGGTTTTACACTCAAAGATTATCACTTTAAGTCATCTGCATCTAATGCTACAAACTTTTAAACAAGGTTTAAAAGCACTGAGAAAAGTGTTTCCATTCCAGAACAGGTACACTTGTGCAATGGTGCTTATTGTCAGAGTAAATTTCAGTGTTATTATTATTATAATACAGGATTTATATAGCGCCAACAGTTTGCTCAGAGCTTTACAATATAATGGGAGACAATACAGCAACAATACAGTTTAATACAAGGAGGGATAGGAGGGCCCTGCTCCTTGGAGCTTACAATCTAGGAGGGAGGGGCTAGTGGTACAAAAGGTAGTAACTGTGGGGGATGGACTGATTGGAAGAATAGAAGATTCCATTATTAGCTGAAGGCAGGATAGGCTTCCCTGAAGAGATAGGTTTTCAGAGATCGCCTAAAAGTGAGCAGAGTAGGCGATAGTCTGATAAATTGGGGTACAGAGTTCCAGAGGATGGGGGAAGCTCTGGAGAAGTCCTGGAGATGAACATGGGAGGAGGAGACAAGGGAGCTAGACAGTAGGAGGTCTTGCGAGGAGTGGTTCAGGTGAGAATGATGCATGTACCAGAGGGGACACTTGTGGTGCAAAGTAGTGGAATGTGGTGCATGTGTGGCAGGGGACAGAGACACCAGAGGGGACACTGGTGAAGCTAAACAGATTGTGGAGCTGGGGGGGGGGGGGGGAGGGTGGCAAAGGCACCACATGGGACAAGCAGTGCTGATTGTCGCAGAGGAATGCAGTTTGCAGGTGAAAAGACAGCGTGCAGTTGGCGGGGACAAAGGTACATTTGCAAGGAGTGCCAGGAAGATGAACTGCCAGGGAGGGATGTATGAGGGAATTGCTGAGGTTCCAAGGAAAGATGTGTGTGTGACGAGAGTTGTGAAAACTGAGACACGTTATTATATGCGTCTCTAGTTTCTGTTTAAGCCTAGGGTTACTTTTAGTGCATTATGGATTGGTCAGAACATTTCCTTTATCCTTGACTAAAAAAAAAAAAAAAAAAAAAAAAAAAAGAAATAGAAGTTTATTTGATAATAAATTCTAGACATAAAAAAAAACCAAAAAAACATGACTACTTACAGCAGCTAGAGTTCCTGAATAGGTCGGTGTATCCAATAAGACATTGTCTCCAGGGTTCACAAGCATTTCAAATACCTGGAAATATTTGCTTATTAGCATTAAAACATGGTAAGTCAAAAGTTCAGGGACAACTTTATCTTAATTCTCTCTAAAGCTGATCTATACCTTTTGATATACTTTTGGACCACTCTGGCACTATGTCCCTCACTAACAGGTGAGACTGCTAGATGTGCGGCATAAACTGTATGTAGCTGCAGCGTGTTCGTGGTGCGCACCAAGACTTCCAGTCTCATACCTGGAGCACAGTAGAGTCTATTGCAGCAGCGCTCAGCCAATAAGAGAATGCAATGTATTCTGTCAATGAATACAAAGCTTCCTCTCATTGGCTAAGTCAGAGGTTGTGACAGCCCACCTCTCTGACTCAGCCAATCAGAGAAAGCTTTGTATTCATTGATAAAATTAATCTTACTCTGAATAGCTGAGCTCCGCTGTGATATCAAAAAGGTGGAGGAGATCAGTTTTAAGTGATTTGAATATCTTTTTATATAATTTTTTTATATCACTGAGACTACATACTGTTAGGTTTTAAATAATAATTTTTATGTACAATATGCACAGTATGTATATTTACACATACGCATACAGTGAAAATAAGAAAACTAATTAAAAGACCTTCCTGTCAAATTTGCCAATTCCAGTAAAGTTCTTCATGGTTTATGGGGGATGGACTCTGATATTAATTAATGGTTATTTTATCGTAAAGAAAACTAAATCAGGAATGGTTTATATGTTGTTGTAATGTGTGTAACCTTACCTGTCAGGTAGTTGTGTGTGCTAATACATAAAATATATTTTTCCAACACAGTAATACTGGGCACTCACAGAATCTTTCACAGAGTATAAGTGCATAAGTGTGTTATATGACAGTTATTGAATTCGTCTAGGACAGAGCACAGGAGACTACTTTCTCAAAGAATGGATATATTGTGGCAGGAAGTGGCCGCGGGATGGTATGTATGTATGTATTTATTTGAGGTAGGGTAAAATGGTTTAATATAGGTGGGGAGGGCAAAACAGATAAGTGCCCTCATCCTTTTTAGAAACAGTAATCAAACAAGAACATTAAAAGCATTCTCTATAACACGTTTTAGATTCAGCAGCTTACTTTGGACAGGCCCTCCTGACTTCCAGAAGTGACGCACAGCTCCATCTGACCTTTCTCAGGGCTGTAACTAAGTGTAGGCGGGTTGTGTATTTTCTTCTGTAAATCTTTCAACCAGGAGATTAATTCGGGAATTCTATATAACAAATATATCATTAAGACTTACATTCAATTTATTTTATGCAAATATGAATATACAGGGTGCAGCAACATAACTACCTTTTTTGAAATGCGTGCCATTCAGGCTGTAGCGGCCATAGCGGGGCGGGAGTGGTCTCAGGCGACAGGCATAGTTTCTAAAGTTTTTGTTCTCTTCCAGGTCAGTCATCATCATGCGTTGGAACAGTGAGCAGCGTGCGTTTGCCGTAGAGGCCTACTTTTCAAACGCATTTTCTGTGATCGCAACCCAACGTGCCTTCCGACATCGCTTCAATGTAGCGATCCCCGCAGCGTTCTGCGCGCAAACATGCGTCTGCCCTTGGACTTTCGGATCATTCAGTGAGGCGAATTCTTCACAATGACCTTCATTACCATCCGTACAAGTTGGCGATTGTGCAGGAACTCTCCAAACGCGACTTCAATTCTCGGAGGAACGCATGTGAGGCAGTACTCGAAAACGTCCCTGAGGACACAATTGTTTTTTACAGTGATGAAGCCCATTTTCACTTGACTGGATGCTTCAGCAAACAGAACATGCGCTACTGGCCCGACACCAATCCTCGAGAATTGCATCAAAGGCCTTTGCATTCATCTAAAGTCACAGTGTGGAGTGCAATTGCCTCAGCTGGGGTTATTGGTCCCTGGTTCTTTGAAGAAAATGAGGTCACAGTGACAGTGAATTCAGACCGGTATGTGAACATGTTGGAGGAATTTTTTTTTTCGACGACTTGATGAATTGGACTTAGGGGACATTTGGTTCCAACAGGACGGAGCAACGGCTCACACTTCAAGAGCATCAATGGCTGTTTTAAGGGAACACTTCCCGGAGCGCCTCATCTCAATAAGGGGCGATTTGGAGTGGCCAGCCCGCTCCCCGATTTGGCCCCTTGCGACTTTTTTTTTGTGGGGTATTTTGAAATCCCGCGTTTATGTAAACCGTCCAAGGACCCTACAAGACCTGAAGGCCAACACATCCGCGCAGAAATTGCCAACATACCCGCTGCTATGCTGGTAAGGGTCATGAAAAACGCCAGAAATCGGCTTATTCAGTGTATGGACAATGGGGGGGCGTCACCTACCTGATATGATTTTCAAAACTGTGTAAAACAGAACTTTAGATATGTACCTACATTATTAAAGACAATAAAAACAATTCTGATTCATAAAATGGGTTTTATTGCGTTTTGAAAAAAGAAAGTTATGTTCCGCACCCTGTATTATACAAGCAATCCAGATTATTTTTATTAGCTAGCTAATGCCTTAAGTGTGTTTTCAGCTTATTTACATTGTTAAAGATGCATGTAAAATGCAAAAGAAAAAATATAAAATAAATATACAATACATACAATATTAGGACCTTCAACACCTTTCTAATACAGAGTAAAGAGGGGAAAACCCTCCGATATTCTAGCTCATCAAAAACTGTGCAGTTGATCTGAAATCTGATTGCCTAACGGAGTCTGTTTGAAAAGAGTATTATCACATGTACCTTCAGCAGTACAAGCTCTGGGCCTGTGATACATGTTATGTAAAGTCACTGAAATGAGCACTGCATTTTGGGCACTGACATTTGAAGAATCTAAGTTCATAGACTTAATACTGTGCTGAGATTAGCATCTAAATGCATTGCTCTAGTAGCTTCAGGAGACATGATTTGCAACCAGAACCTGCCTTTTACAGCTGACATATAAGCTCCTGATGTTCAACCCTACCCTCTCTTCCCATTGACTATTATTAAAGTAGATCTTTTACAGTTTACAGTTACTTTAACCACTTGACCTCCCAAAGATTTACCCCCCTTAATGACCAGTCCATTTTTTTGCTATTCGCCACTGTGCTTTTTCAACTGGTAATTGCATGGCCATGCAATGTTGTACCAAAGCAAAATTTGTGTCCTTTTTTTCACACAAACAGAGCTTTCTTTTGGTGGTATTTCATCCCTGTTGGGTTTTTTTATTTTTGTGATATAAATGAAAAAAAAAGACCAAAATTTTTAGAAACCCCCCCCCCCCCCCCCCCCGAAATTTTCTACTTTCTGGTATAAAAAATATCCAATAAACTCGAAGTAAATTTAGGCCAAAATGTATTCTGTTGCATGTTATATTCATTGTTTTGTGTGAAAGTTGTAGCATCTACAAACTATGGTCTATGCGATGGGAGTGACGTTGGGTGGGGGGCCCATGGAACACAGCCCCCTTTGGAGAGGTGGGGAAACCCCTGTCTCAACTCCCCATATCCCTATTATGTGTAAGTCACCTTGTGCCTGTTAGGGGTACAGGGTGGAATGTTCTAATATTGGGGTGTGGGGGTTGTTCATTGTTCACTGCCATGCGGCTGCATCCCATTGTTCTATTGTGTGTCTTGCTTGGGATCAAACTATTATGGGATATATGTGTTTGTGCATTGGCTTGGTGGGAGGTGTTTCCAGCAGCCCTCCTGATGGGACTGTCTGTTGGGATGGGTCTCTGGTTGCTAGATTTGGTTTGCCACGCCCTGTGTCCATATGCAGGAAGGTGGGTTATTCCCTTGAATGTTTTATATCTTGTATCTGTGTTATAATAAAGCAGTGCACTTCCTGTTTTAATACAAGTCTGGTGCTGTTTCGTCTTGTATGGTCAGCGGTGGTGTCCGTGGATCTGTGTTCGGACAGGGAAGCGGGAGGCTAACGGAAATACGCTAGTGCAGTCGGGGTCCGGTTCCGTTACAGTCTACATATTGGATTTTGTGCAGCTTTTAATTTCTGACTGCCTATCACATTTCTTGAGGTGCTAAAATGCCAGGGCAGTACAAACACATCCAAATGACCTCTTTTTGGAAAGTAGACACCCTAAGATATTTGCTAAGAGTCCATGGAAGATTTTTATTTTTCACAAGTTTAAAAAAAATGTCATTTTTTTAAACACAAAGTTATCACTTAAATGATATATTGCCCACACATGCCATGGGTATATGTTGAATTACACCCCAAAACACATTCTGCTACTTCTCCCAAGTATGGGGATACCACGTGTGAGATTTTTTTTTAACAGCCTAGTCGCATACAGGAGCCTGAAATCCAATGACCACTTTGAAAGCCTGAAAGTGCGTGTAATTTCCTCATTTCACTTACTGTCTACCTATCACAGTTTCAGAGGCCCTGGAATGTCAGGATAGCATAAACCCCCCCCACCCCCAAAGACCCCTTTTTGGAAAGAAGGAAATTTCCAAGGAATTTAATAAGGGGCATGGTGAGTATTTTGCAGATCTCATTTTTTGTCACAAAGTTTTGAAAGAAAAAAAAAAATACATTTTTGTTTTCTTTCTTCAATTTCCAAAAACTTGTGGTAACAAATGAGATGTGCAAAATACTCACCATGCCTCTTAACAAATACCTTGGAGTGTCTACTTTCCAGAAAGGGGTCATTTGGTGGGGGCGTTGTACTATTTTGGCATTTCACAGCTTCCCAAACTGTGATAAAATTGTATGTATAGTCTGTGGCCCTCTCACAGAGCTTATGCAATTTAACCCCATATCTGGCATGCTTGTTGGGGAGGTACTGTTTGAATGCAAGGCAGCCAGTAAAGCAGATGTTTTTCTAGGGGTATACAAATCTGCAAATTTCTCCCTGAGTTGGTTTAGGAGGGGCCTAATTTTGTAGAGCCAGTCATGTTCAGGGTCCCCCCGGGGACAACAGAATGTGTTATTACTAAAATGCATGAAGCGCATTGTCTCATATCTACGTCTGGCCATGGCAGCAGAGAACATGGGCATATGATGAATTGGGTCTGTGAACCAATATGAAAGCAACTTATTCTTTTCTGTAAAGCCCATGTTGAGGATTAGGACCAAAAAAGTTTTACATTTGGAAAACATAATCGGTTTCCATGCACGTGGTTTGGGAAGAGTTTAATTTGGGTTGGTGGTGATATATTGTTGTGCGTATAAATTGCTTTGGCCCACAATCAAATTATACAAGTCTTCTGTGATAAACAGCTCCATAAAATCAAGGGGAGTAATTAAACTTGCGGTTTCTACTTGAATTCTGGGTTGGGCAGTAAACAAGGGAAGTACAGGTGCTGTAAAATCTGTGGGCTGCCAATCAGGATTTGCAAGCATGCCTGGAAGGACACTAAGGGCTCCATGGACCTTTGTGCGAATTCTTGGTGGCTGTGGGACACAACTTGTGCTAGTCACCTCACAAGCTTGTACTGCACTTATAGGACTCGCCATGTCACCAAGTGATACTGCAGTGCTGGTATAAAAAAAGACCAGGATAAACTAGACCGCTGGTGCTCACCAGTTCACCAAAAGGTGGTGCGGCACTATTAGTGGCACTCTGCTGCAAATCATGCATTCTTAATACTTCAGCTTCATGGGGTCGGGTACGCCTGATGTTAAAAAGGGACCTCTTCTCCAGCGTTCGAGCTACCTGTTGAGGTGCTGCTGCTTTCTACAGGTTTGTAGTTTGAGGCAGATTCTGTCAGAGAGGCTTCCCCATCACTCTCATATGACATTCTCAGAATCCTGTACGCCTCTTCACTAGTATACCTTTTTTTGGGACATTTTGGGCTGTAAATGTACAGGTACCTAGTGCGACTCACGGGAAAAAGAGCACCTAGCTATCAGGGACCGCTTGAACCGCTACCAAATAAAATTATTCTGCTAGTGCAATGTATTGCAGATGACAGTGATCAGAAATTACACTGTTGGGGGGGGGGGGGGGGGGGAGTGAGAGCGTTGAGACCAAAACGCAAGTGCTGGCTGAGAACGGGGCTGATCCTGCTAACACTAAGTTTTTGGGGACACTGATACTATGGGGGCACTAGTATAGTTTTGTTCGTGATCAATATATTGATCCATACAAAACACAATACTAGTAATGACGGTGATCAGCGACCTACAGTGTGAGTGAGATAGTGTGCGGGCAATGTAAAGTTAGCTGACCCTGGCTGGGAGGGGCGCTAACTGACCCTAACTATCTGATGTCGCTAGTGGCACTAATACAATGATCAGTGAAAAAAATACTGTACACTGACACTGGCAGAGTGACAGGGGGCAATCAAAGTTAATGTAGCAAAAAAGGGGTTAAAATGTCTCTAAGGTATGTGGGTGCAGTGCGCTGCTTTTACTCATGCGTGGTGTCTATTTTCACTGCATGGAACAAAATGGTTCCAGGGAGAGAGGTTTCAGCTAAAATGTTCCAGTCTCTTATCTTCTGCAGCAAATCTCTACTTTCCAACCAAACCTGTAACATGTCCATCTCTAACCATCATTTTCTCTAGTATATCTGCAGTTTCTGACATTCCTCCCTAGCTTAACTGGCCCTTTGGTGATGTGAAGGGCAGCAGTAAGTTTACATTGTTTTTCATTGTATCCATAATTTTATAAGTTACTTTCATTGCTGTAGTGTGCTGTATGTCAAAGAAACAAATACTGTAAGATGCAACTAAGTTATCTTACCCAGGTGTTGAAGAGTACTGTAGAGCTTTCTTCATCAAACTATCCCCAATCTCGAAGGCTGTCCCATCATCCAATGTTATGCTGGCAGCTTTGAATGGAAATGTATTTGGATTTGGAATCCCCCCAGCTAAAGATATCATTGAAGGTGGAGACCTCATTAACAGCTCAGCTAAAAATAAAAAGATAAATATTGTTATTATAGGGAAAAAAAAAATCATTGAACAAGTCTTTTAAGGTTGGTTAGCACCACTAATTTGACCACTATTATTAAAGCAATAAAAGGCAAGACCTGCTACTTACATCAGGCCCCCTTCCTCATACTGCCTCATTAAAGTGTAAAAATAAACATTTGGGGAAAAAGTAAGATACTTGGCATGACCTCTAAATTCCTGCACTGGTGACATTGTGATCAATCTGGTAAAATCTTGGGAATGCGGAGTATCCCAAATCTCATAGGATGACAATCCTGCACAGTGTAGGAGTGTCTTCTCATGAGATTTGAAAAGCTCATTGCTCCCAACATCTCATCAGAAGGATTGTGATGTCATCTTTCCTAAGTATTGTACGCAGAAGCCAGGGATAGACCCTGTAGAGTCATAACTAGAGATGAGCGAATCGAACTTGGCGAAGTGGAATTCGTTTCGAATATTAGGAAAAATTCGATTCGCACCCGAATCCGAAAATTAGCAAACTTCGGATGCACGAATCGAATTTTTCCCGATCGGCCGATTTTTCATCCCTTCTACAGCCGGCAAAAAGTGTCCCTGCAGAGAGCTCCGCTATTTCTGACAGTTCTCTGACAGTTCCTTCACATTTACAGCGGTTGAAACATTGTATCTATTTGTTTCCATTTAGGATACAGATGTTTTTATTCGGAAACAGATACAATGTTTCAACCGCTGTAAATGTGAAGGAACTGTCAGAGAACTGTCAGAAATAGCGGAGCTCTCTGCAGATACACTTTTTGCTGTACTGGTCTTCCTCTTCCTCTTCTTCTTAGTCATGCCCCGTGACTGCCCAAATGAGTGAAGTGTGCGGTGATTCTAAGATCGACGGCACTCATCTGCATGTCATACTGACTGACAGTATTATTTCTCTTCCCCAGCAGACTCCAAGGGCATTTAAATTAAAGGTACAGTGTTCTGCACTAATATAAAGGCTCTCTGAAGCCTAGAAAGCCTTTTAATAAGTTAAATTCGCAGCGAATAAATTTGCATTGAATCGAATTTATTCCGCAAATTCGGCGAATCAGCCGAATCAAATTTTTGAATAATTCGCTCATCTCTAGTCATAACTCTCCCTTACACCCTTTAAAAATACATTTTGCCTTTACTTCCACTTTAGAGAGAGTGAAGATTCTAGGAACAGGTGGTGGGTCACTATCTCAGGAAAGGATTTATTCCATTTTATTAAAAGATGCTTTATAGATTTTTTTTTTTTTTTTTTTTAAAAGACAGGATGTTTATTGTAAAAGGGAAATGAAAGTACATTACAGCTGAAACAGAATGCGACTGTTTGACATTGTAGACATAGTACAATACAAATGTACACTAGCAGCAAGTTGAACAACATCCAATATAAAACAAGAGGGAAGAAAGAAAAACCCCTAAACCACACAGTAGTTACGAAGCAATAACCTAACAGAACCGCATTGGAGTCAATTCAAGGGCGAGAACCCCCAGGGTGTAGGGAACCCATCAAAAATAGACAACTGAAAAATTAAGGGAAAGAAGAGAAAGGAAAGGGGGAGCAAGGGGAAGGTTAGGGGGGGAAAATCAGAAAGGACAGGATGAAGGGAGGAAAAAAGGAGGGAGGGGAGGGAGAGGGAGACAGAGAAAATAAGGAGATGCTACCATAACATAACCCCCCCCCCACTTAAAGATTACACCAGAGGGCAGTGGGCCAAATGTTCCCATTGTAGACTCTTAGAGAGATGTCCAGGGGAGCCATACCTTATCATATTTCCAGGACAGCCCCTATTAATATAGGTAAGCTTGTACATTGGAAGGGCCACATCTATGGCTGTTTCCCCCAGGACAATGTCACAGGAGGATACCCGGAGTTTTACTTTAATAGAATCACTTTTTTGGAATAAAAAAAAGGAGATAAGATATCAACAATTTCAAGTGGTGGGACTGTTGTACAATATCATGAAGCTCCAGCAACACCAAGGCAGGTGAAAAGGGGCAGGGATCCCAGGTGTAGCTGGCAATGAGGGCAAATAGAATCGCGCTCAGGTTTATATCCAAGAAAGCCTCAAGGGGGTCTAATAAACCCTATGTAAAAACTTGACCTGTCTAAGTTTGTCCCTGGAGGAAATAACCAACTTGGGACGTTGTTCCAAAGCCTCCTCCCAGTCCTCCTCATCCAAAGAAGGGATATCCCCCTTCCATGTGGCCGATAACTTCTCAATCTTGGGGGAATTAACACCAAAGCGATGTTCCATACAGGACAGACAATGTTTTTTTTTTTAACTTGCCCTGAGTCAGCAGCTCCTCAATGGGGTCCTCCCGGAGGATAGGAGGTCACGGGAACGGAGCCCTGGCATCATGTCTCAGTTGGAAGTACCAAAGAGCATCTAGCTTGTATTGGCCCTGGAATAGTATCATAAGCTCTATGTCCCCAGTAAGGAATGTTATGAATATCAGGTACGGATCCTAAGCAGGCTGCTTCTAAATAGACAGCAGCATTGGACCTAAAGCCCCCCAAACCACCAATACACCTACACCAGCATTGCCACCCAATAGTATGTTTGAAAGTTCAGGAGGGCCATATCCCCCATAGTGGCAGGGAGTTGCAATGTAGATTTTGCAAGGCGGAGAAGGGCACCTCTCCATATAAAAGGGGGTTACACAGGAATCTATCTCCTTAAAAAAGGATCCAGGGATCCAAATTGGGAAAATACGAAAGATATAGTTGAAATTGGGCAGGATAATCATCTTCAATAAATTGGTTCACATCCTATCAGAATTCTTCTACCCAGGAAAGTGAAGTGGGTCTAGCCCTGACACGGGCATTGTCATCATGTGCAAAAAGTAGAGATTTAGCCCAATTGATACGTATACCTTAAAAAGTCGTAGATACCAAATAGCTCCAGAGTGGCAGTGAGCGACAGAACCATGTCATGTAAATATAAAAGGGCATCATCTTCGTATAGGGACAACTTCTCCTCCAGAGCTCATACCTTCAAGCCCTGAACTGACTTGGGTTCCCTGACCAAAATAGCCAGGGATTCCAGGGAAAGGGCAAGGGCAAAGAGGCCATCCCTGGCGGGTCCCCTGTTGTAGGGTAAGGGGATCAGTGAGCCAATAATTAGTGCGGACCCTCGCCTTGGGGGCTCCATAGAGAAGCTGGACCCAACAGAGATACTTTGGTCCAAACCGCAGCAAAACCTTGCTTTATGAATATTTGAGAGAAACTAGAGTATCTTGTGTAGTAATCTCTATGATCATATCACCAACATTTTTATGGGACACTTTTGTAGCCCAAAATATTTAGGCAGCGTACACACTCTTGCCACATTGACAGGCTCTGTAAATTCCTTGACAATGCAGGGCCTACTCACAGGAAATAATGTCACAGAATTCAAGGGCATAAATGTGTGAGGATCTTCAAAGGACATTTACAAATTTCAAGAACTTTCAGAATAATAGAAGTTGGCTAGAAAGAATTGAAAGATAATGTAGAAATGAATATATGAATTTACATTTTGACCATAGATAGGTTTAAGAACTTGCCTCTAACTGCCATCATATAGCTACCATGGATGGTGAATGTTCAACAAATTGCTGCCACATCTCATAATTTATTTTCTGATCGTATCTAGACAAATATTTGATACTCTGACTGCACCAAAAAGCCATTTGTGAAACTGTAAGATAGATCCATTTTTTTATGTGGTCCCACTATAAACCAGGCTTGTGGGTGTCCAGTTGGCCATTATCCTTGAATGAAAGACAGTGTGGGCAGAAGAGGGAGAGGGCCGTGCTTGTATGTGAAGAGTAATATGATACTGAATATGCGAGATGACATATTAATAGTTAGTGAAGAGTGTTTGTGGCTGAAGCTTCAAAGGGATGAAAAAGAAAGGTAAATTGCTTGTGGATGTATGCTATAAACTCCCTAATGTTAAAAAGGAGGAGATCCATCTCCTTTCAAAGTTAGAGATGGAAGGTATGCAGGGAAATATTATAATCATGGGGGACTTCAACTATCCAGATATCGACTGGGCAGATGGAACTGCACACTCAACTAAGGCTCATCATTTCTTTAACCTCTTCATGCCGAGCATACGAAAACATGCGGACTCTAGGTGGCTGGGCCTTGATGCCAAGCGGCCGCATATTTGCGTACTATTTTTAAACAAATGTGCTGAGAGCACGCGCCTTGTGCGCTCCCAGCACCTGTCGGCGTCCCATGGAAAGGTACCGATCTCTCCTTGCGATCAGGACCTTTCCAATCATGTGATAGTCAAGTCACATGACCCTAAACCTCACCTTGCCTCCCAGCGTCAGAAACCCCTTAAGAGCCTGGATGCATCAGCATGAAGGGGTTAATGTAATGCAGGATAAGATGTGTGAAATGGTGGAAGCCACAAGTAGAAATAATGCCCTTCTGGACCTACTAATTACAAACAATACAGAGCTAATTGCAAAGGGAGACATAAGAGATAATTTAAGTAACAGTTATTACGTATTAATACATTTGCCATAAATGATAAGAAAAGGACACATAAGGGTAGGACAAGAGAACTACATTTCAAAAGAGCCAACTACACTAAATGGGATCAAATTCTTGCAACAAATAACACTGAAGATAAGTGGGATTGCTTTAATCACATATTAAACAGTTTTTGTCAGTGCAACTCTGGTTCAGCCACATCTTATGTGGTGCAGTTTTGGCCACCAATCCTCAGGAAGGATGTGCTGGAACTAGAGAGCCCAGATAATGGCAACAAAGCTAACAATGGGGCTAGAGAACCTTAGTTATCAGGAATAACTACAAACATTAAACTTATTCTCCCTGAAAAAGAGAGGTTTAAGGTAATATGATTGCAAATCTTTGAAAGGTAACTTGGGTATTGGGAGGAAACTAATCTAAGGTGTCTAAAAAAAAAAAAAAAAAAAAAAAAAAAAAATGAAGAAGAAGACGACACATGCCCGCACGATA